CGAACCTGTTCATAAGAACCTATAAGGGTGTTTTGGTCCTTGAGCTCGAACGTTGATGGATGTAGGTTCAAAGAGGCTTGTGGACGTTGCAACATTGATCGGCACTTTCTGAATTTTCGGTTTGATTCCTCGTCAGTCAGATGAATAATCTCGCGACCCGATTCGGCGGTTCAAATTCGATTTTTTCACACTTTCAACAATTTATTCTCCAGCTCATAGCAAGCATAGTATTAAGTAAGAGCAATAATAAAGAAAAATTTCACAGCTAAGCTCATGTCATCATAAGCATTGCTGTTGTTAGAAGTCAAAAAACCTTTACAAGCATGCCCGATGAAGGCAATTTTTAAAACTGTTACGAATACAGCAGCACCACACATCAGCGTACCTTAAGCTCAACGGCTTGAACTCGGCTCAAGTTTAGCCTCAAACTTGCTGCAGGCATGCGATCAAGCTCACAATTATGCTATGATGCACGGGTGACCGACAGATGCATCGAAGACAAGTCTAACTCCGACAAAAACGATGAGGCACGCGCAAATTGCATGTGCACATTGTCGTAGAGCCAAAGTTTGGCAGCGTTCGCTTATGGCAGCATGCAGTGGTGTTGTATCTTGGGTATTCGACAATTTGCTGCGGATAACATGCACCATTAGACACTGCCGTGAACGTAAGTTGCCAAACTTTAGTCAAGAGCTTGTGGTCACTTCACCAAAAGTAGCCGTTGACAATACGCCAATGAGTTCTAGTTGAATCTCACTCTACTGAATTTTGAGCATACGCAATTGAATTTTTAACACGTTTTCTGAGGATATCTGCATTTGAGGGACATATGAGCGAGCGGATTTTGAACTTCTTTAAATTAGGTAAAGCGAATTGATTTAAAAAAACGTACGCTCTGATTATATCTTCATCGTAGAATATTTTGCGAACAGGCTCATCCTCTTTTTCAAATTTAGCATCCCAAACTGGTTCCCTTAATGGAGGTATAGCCGCGTACACATCATACCATAACGGCCGTTGTTCCCAATTCAAGTGACCCGCACGAATCAAGCCCGTTACTCTGTAAATTTTTGGTGCATAAGATGATAAGTCGTAATAATTCATCGAGGATTTCTTCATAATCTTCTCCTATTGAATGAAATTGTAATTGTATCGTTATCCAATTGAATCGTATACGCTTTTTGATAATATTGCACTCAACTGCTGATAACGACATTATATCTCACGACTTATGACTGAATAAATGTGATCTGATGATCGTTAACACCATACGAAACCAACTTAATCGAAACTGTAATAGTGCACTTCAGATGGACATTCATCAGCATGCAGTGCGAGAAATGAACGACGTATCTATCGCTATACATTATACAAATAGTCATTCTGATTGCGACAATTGTTCTATGAGTTTTTTACTTTGATGAGTTTTCGATCAAATATTTCAGAGGAGTATCAATCCGGTTCATCTGCACGTTGTGCTCATCAGAATTTAACTTATTATTTTTATTGCACTGCAATTGAATGCACGAAAATGAAGGCAACACAGTCGTGAATGTTCGAAGAACAACTGAGCAATACTGACTGATATCATTATATCAGGCATGCACCTCAAATCATACAGCTTACGTACGTGGAAATCAGAAGAAGTAATTGGAAGCAGTAATTGGATCAAGTGCACGATGAATGATGAAAAAATTTTGCATTGGCTAAAGCAAGCGTTTTGGTGACAGACGAATGACTGAGGAAACGATTAAACAAAAGATAATCAAATAACGAATGATGCAGGATCGTATTTTAATGAGTTGGTGTAAGGAACCTGACAAAGAATACCACCAATTTCAGATATCGGTTCAAAACTGACGATATCTTCACAAATGAAAATTCATCGATAGCAACTAATAACACCGAAATCCATGAATCGAAACGAATTGAAGCGCATAAAAAGTACATTCGTTGCAGTGTAAATCCATAACTTAACATTAATGGAATGATCAG